ATTTTGTTACTGGAGTTATTTATTTTTAATCTAAAACCAGTAATTACAGCTTTGGGTAAATGTGGAACACTAGCCTGTGCAGGAATAGTTTCCAACATAGCTAAACATAATTAAGTTTCTTTAGGAGCATTTACTACCCAATAACTTGCCTCCATCACTTGGGAGATGTTCCTGCTTGTAGTACCTGCAGTAATTTGTATTCATGTTGCTGAATATATCTCCATATCTGACTCTAAAGCTACACATCCGGTTTTGGAAAGCATTTGTGCAGTTCTTTCCATTAAATGTGTGTGGTGTCACCTTTTTTTTTCTTTGAAAGGGCAAAGATTGTCTGAACATTTTCTTGAATTTATTCTTGGTTTTGACCACTGAATTTTCTCACAGTTGGTAAGCTCAGGTCTCTTTTCTTAGATGTTATTTTGTGAGTTAGAAGGCTTGAATTTCTTACCTAATTGTTCAGAGGTGGTGGAATATTGTTATTAGAAGATGGATATGGTGAAATGTGTGTTTCTAGACATGTCTCCTCTCAGTCTGTCTGCTCTGAAAACACCAAGCTTTGCACTGTTTTTCAAGGCGTAGCAATCAGGGAGAACAGAGTTTTCTGAAGTGGTACAGATAAATAGGAATCCGTTCAGACACCCTCTGAATCAAGATCTTACCACTTTTGAAGTGGCCTGCTCAACCTCTCAGCTTGCTAAAAAAGGAATCTGCATTGTTGTAGTCATGTGCTCAGAGATCAGTGTTCTTGTTTGTTTTTTTGTGGTGTTTTGTTTTGTTTTTAAATAGTGAAAAAGTAAAATGTGTTGTAAACTGCTCTAACTGGTTACACTGAAACAAGAAGTAGAACTAAATATTTAAATGAGCAGTTGATAGCATACAGTTATGAAAAAAAAATTACTTTTATAGTGTCAGTGGTCTATGTCTCATTAAAATTGACAAGAAGTCTTACTCATCAGAAATATGTGATTTAAAAAATATATATTAATACTGAATCATCAGTATTCTTTTGCAACTAATGGGCGGTTGGTTACTTAGTTGAGGACAGAGAACACTAGTAGTTTTCTTTCATACTGAATTTTTTTTTTCTTGGACAAACCAGGCTGACTGTAGTTGATACTGCAAGCAGTGTGAGTCAAGGCAAGCTTGAACTGTGTTTGTGAGTCATTGCTTCTGACTCCTAGGAAATTCTGTGGACCTCATCTCCTCCAACAATGAACTACCTACTTATCAGGGTTCTTCTAGGGACACTTTTGTAGCTGCACACTTTACTGAAGCCTAGGTGCAGGCTACAACTATCTGGAGTTTGTTCTTGCTTGTTTTACAGGGGTAAGGAGTCCAATAGACAGGCAGAGATCACTATGTATCTTGCATTGATTCCTGCCATGAACAGTGAGGATTAAACACCAGGAGCACTTTTGCCTGCCAGGGCTATGTCCAGCAGTGCCTGTTCTCCAGCATACTTCAAAGGCTTTCTCCTGCTTCACTGGCCTAAAGCAGTGAAGGCAGGGCCTCTGTTTCAGAAGACCCCCGTCTGCTTTCAAACTGTGGAGAGCCAATACTGCCTGGGTGACTGAATTATTGAGGCATGTTCTGTGTGCTAGTCTGGCATGTTATAAAAGATGTCTGTGACCTGTAATCGTAGTTTCTGTGATTGTTTAATGATTGAAGAACAATAATTCTTCTGCTTACCCTCCTTTGCCTTTCATCCTCCTCCATCCCACCTTGCCAAAAGCATGTGATGTTCCCAAGCTTGCTGTAACCTTTCAGTCCTTTCCTGTAGCTGGAACATTTCTGTGAGCAGGCTTTTCCTCCTGTGAAGGTACCCAAATAACATATCTAGAAGCAGAGGATAGCAGCTTGTCAAACTTGCATGTAGTCACAGCAATGGCAGTTTCTGTGGGCTGGGCTACTCTGATTTTCAAACTGCAGTAGCCTGATTCTTCAGGATCACCAGTGATTTAACCACTCACTCACTGCTGGCTGGAGCACTTGCTTCCATTAACCACTTCATCTAATTAAAGAGTTTTTTAACTCTTGGTAACTTTCATGAGACAGTAAGTCCAAAAGCTCCTCAGACTGCAGACATCGCTGTGGCAACCAGTTACGTTCCTCCTCAACTACACAATCTGTAAATCTGGACGGGGATGTTTCTGTGGATGTCTGGTGGAACAACTGGCCAGAAGTTAGTATGGACTGGGCTTGCAAGACCTTAAGAGACAAGCAAACCAAACACAAGTTCTACAAAATGAATGTAAAACTCAGTTTTCATTGAGTTTAAGATACCCAAATGAGGAAGAAGAGGCATTTAGTGCTCAGGGTGGGGCAGGGGCTAGAAATAAAACTCCTACTACCCTGTTTACCTCCAGGGGAATGCAAGTGAACAGGAAAGCTTGACCACCTACCAACAGTTTTGAACACAAAGCTCATCACTTCCAGCCAGGGCCTGTGTCAGTGGCAGGGCACCACTGTGCTTGCCTGCTGCCTACACTGCAAGCAGCTCTCATAGTTTAAGCTGACAGTGCTTGTCAAAGCTGGTAGTCTAAACTGTTTGTTTTGTTTTGTTTTGTTTTGTTTTGTTTTGTTTTTTACCTATCTTGAAAATCCCATCCTCCTGTCTAATTACCTGTATCTGTTGAGAAAAACTGCAATGGAGAAAATGCCTGTTAGTTTATGGGATAAGAGAGGATGAAACAGGTGTCTCAATCCTCATTCCTTTTGTGTGCACTGGAAGGCTCTTGGCAGAAAGATAGCTGGATTTCCAGTGCAGCAGGGAACCATCCTGGCTTCTATTGAAATAATTGGGCAGATGCTACAGAAGATTATGCAACAAAACCTACATGTTACTTTTAAGTGGCTGCGTTTTTGATAATTGCTGTAGGACCATTTATTAGGTAAATAATTAGTCTTTCCAGATAAGAAGTAGGACACAATTTACACTGGAGAGATTTATGAGGGCTAATATGTATATATTGGCAGCTGTTTACAGCACTAATTTGTGTGTTTCATTTAATTTCTGAATTTTATTTCAAAAGCTTCAGACAATGAAGGATTGAGAATATGGTGGCTGAAAGCAAAGAAACTGAGAAATGTATTTGAAAAGCCTGCATATGATATCCATTCCTTTTATAAGGAATATTTCCATTATGACCTCCTCCTGCTTTGTATTTAACATTTCAAAGAACTTTGGGGGACTCTCTGTAGTTTGTGTCTTCATGAAGGCAGTAGCCAAGGATTTAAAGTATTGTCACTGCTGGTCTGAAGCTGAAACCTGCAGGCGGTTTTAATCTTGGGTTGGAAGGGGGGGTGGGGGTGAGTGTTTAAACCCAGCCTTTTGTGTTAAGATTAGGAGTGCAAGAGGATAGACTTAAGGGGTGTTAGTGAGTTTTTTCACTAGCAGCTCAGTAATAGCATCAGACTTTGGAAATACTTCTTTCCCATTCTTTGTTATTTCAGTAATTACTATGTGGTGGGTAGAAATCCATAAGGGTTGTGTTTTTTTTAAGTACCACAGCAATGATATGGGGATGTGGGCAATAAAAAGAAGTACTTGTTTTTATAACTTTTTACTCCTTTGACAACTGAGGGCACTTTAAATGCCTTCTCAGATATTCTGTCATTGTTTCAGTCCTGGAAGTCTTTGTTTATTTTGTCTTGATTCCATCAGCTGGGGTAATAGTAAGATCCATCTTTGGAGAGGAAGGAAAACAAAACCAGTTTGGCACTAGCATCATGCTCTGACAAATCTAAAATCTGCCAGTTGTGAAGGCAGGTTGCCTGATCTACCTTATGTCTCAGAGTTGGAATGGTTACCAAATTTCCCCCCGTCAAGAAAAAGATCAAAGGCAGGTCACTGAGCACTTGCGTATGGAGTTTCTTTTACTTTGTTAGATCCTAATAAATGTTTGTCTTGAGTATTTGTTGATTCATGGAATAGCTGGAGGTAAAGAGCACTTGAAATTTTTATGTATAGTAACACAGTGACTTCTTGCAAGTGTTTCTTAGATGAGCACCATAACTAATAAGATTTACCACAGTTGGCTTGTGTAGGTATTGAGTTCGGCTGAATAGTGATCAGTTTTAATAAAGACTAAAGACTTTCTAGCTCTTCATTTTGTACATGATTCTTTCAGATAGAATTCTAATGCTTAGGAAATATCACCTTCACGTAAATTGACTTGCTTAAGACATTTGCTTCTTTTGAAAAAGTTCCTTTTAGATTTCCAGAAATATTAAATATAAGTGGTTCTCTATGCCTTACAAAAATTCATTATAATATGAAAAGCATTTTGAAAGAAACCTTATCCTACACCAATGCCATTCACATGCTTTAAAGATTGTAAGCACGCTTTTCTGGAGGGAGGAGTATGCTTTTCAGAATTATAGAGGAGACTTTATTTTTCTAATTTGATTTTAGTTTACTTAATTTCAATATTTCCACTTGGCTCTTGCAATGCTATTCCTTTGTAATAAAGGACGTTTATCTTCATAACATCTACATGTCTCACTTGCTCTCAGCCTTGATTCTGGTAAGAAAGTTGTAGGCTGAAGAATTCACACCAAGGACTGTTCTTATACCCAGTGTGACACCTAAGTGCTATGTTAGAAACATTTTGCTAAGGTGGGGCTTTGAGTGCTGCTCCCTTCTGTTTAGCTCTAAAGACAAGTTAAAGATCTTGCACTGGCCTTCAGAAAATCTGGGAAGTAACAGTGTTCTGCCAGATTTAAGCTCCTCTTCATATTAAAAAAAAACAATTAATTAATAACAAAGCATCCAACAGCCACCCAGTAATATAGAAAGATATATAGAAGAAAGTAGTAGAACTCCCTGTGGTTGATACATTTGTTTTAACATATTGCACTGTTATGTAGGGCATCACTTAATAAGACAAAAATTATTTTGTTGGACTAGTCCCCAGCTGAAGAATTTAACTTTCTTACAAGGTGATAGGAGAAGTTTGAGATCCAGTGCTATAAAATGTTTTTTCTTGTTCCTCTACTAGAATACAAAAATCTCTGCACTCAGGAGAAATGCTCAGAACAACTTCTACAGAGAGGCAAGCGCAAGTGGTGCCTGCATAAACCTTCATCTGAACAGGGCAATGGGAAATTGTCTCTGGGTGCACACAGGTGGGTAATGTCAGATCTTCAAAAGCCAAGCAGAGGAATAGGCAGGGTAGCTGTCCCAGGAGGGGAGTATTTCTTCTGATGGGCACTACTGCGGCATCAGAAGAGAACAGAGAAGCTCCAGGGTCCCACTGAAAACCAGTGACTAAAGAGTACCACCTTCATGGGAACAAACAGACTCTGCAACACTGCAGTCTGGTCCAGAGAACATGCAGGCTGATAGTTTTGAGTTGGTTTTGCAGAAGCATTTGGGTCATGCATGTGTTGAGTCACCTAATTTGTGTCTGTGTTTATGACTCCTCTCTAGAGTTTTTTCCTGCCCAAATACTAGTATATGCCAATGAGACAGCCTCAGAATCTAACACTGTAATAAAATATGCAAGAAGGAATTGAATTACTTCTCTGTAAGGTGATGAATCAGTGCTTTTTCACTCTTGGGTTTGTGTCATGCTTGTATTCTCTTCAAACTGATGGGTGGGAACCATACATTTTCAGTGCTAAACCACTATTTTGAAAGCCTATTTAATATAGACGGAACTTCATGCACATATGGAAGTAAATTCATGACAAGAGGTTGTTTACAAAGGGTGGAGTAGCCTATTTTCAGGCCTCCCAACTTTTCTAAGGCTTTTAAGATCTCTGCCTGTTATACATGCTATATATACACATCTATAAAATATACTCACTATATTGCACAGCTGTATAAGCAAGAATTTTGAGAGGGAGCTTAGTACTGGGTTGTTCAGCAAATGCTCTGTAGAGTTATAGCAGCTGCTGGGATTTAGTTCCCTTGGTATGCTGCTTCGGTTTTTAGGACTGCCCACCAAATATGTTCATTGTTCCATTTGTGAACATGCTTGCAGTGCTTTGTTCAGTTTTGTGTATGGTGAGTAGATCTCCTAGACAAGAATTTAGAGTTTGAAACTAATGCTGATAAATAATAGCCACGCAACATGCAAAACACTGCCCGCTTGCTATGGGCCAAGGGCTTTCTTTTCTTTCTCAATGGATTTTTCCTTTAAAGACACTTACCCGACACACAGAATCTGCTTGTTGTTTGTGTTGCTGTAGCACCCAGAAGTTTCACCAGAGCCCAAGGTCTGCTTGTGCTTGGTGCCATCTTTGCAATCTCATAAGGCGTTACACGAGCCTAAAGCAGAAACACAGGCTCTGTGGAGGAATGGGAAGAGACACAGAGATGTGTGAATTAGTCTTTAAAAAGATAATGTGTAATGGCTTCTATTGCTGGTGGGATCTACATTGGCTACTTACTTCTTGTTCTCTGTTTTTTCAACTCTGAAAGCAGAAGGATAGGCTTTCTTCCTAACTTACAGTACAGCTGGCCCCCATATATCAGTATGTTACTTAAATACCAGGGTTCTAATGATATGTAGCTCCAGTGGAAAACAAGAAAGTTGAGGCCAACATTTGGGCACATCTTTTACTACTACATCCTTTGGAAGAGCAGCCAGTGAATGAATTGAGTTGCTGTAATTCCACTTCTCCAAATTTTTGAATACTATTATATATAAGAGGTTTAAAAAATGCTTGACTGTGTGAAAACCTGTGCAGAATTCATGGCTTCTCTGCCTCCCCAGTTAGTTTTGTACTCTGAAGGAGTTACAAGCCCAGCTTCCATCTGTTTTAACTAACTGGCTTTGAGTCAGTGATAATAGGAGAGGAAAAGCATGCATCAAAGTAAAGACTGTGTCCTACAGCCTATGTTCCTTTTGGTACTCTGGTACGTTTTTCGGTAGTCTTGGGTGCCCAGATTTAAACCCCTTCTGCATCAATTGTCTTCTGTGCAGAGGAAGCACAAATGCAATCAGAAGATCTGGCACGAAAAAAACAGGGGAGCTTTTCTTTTCATAATGGAGTCGGGTTTTTCTTAAAAGTAATGCAAGTTAAAATAAATACCACAGCACATAAGCCAGCAAAATGAATCGGTGAGCTGCAGCATGTGTTCAGCAGCAGTACTGCATTCCTGTCATCACACATTCCCAAAGCATAACAGTGAGAGAAATATGATCCGAAACTAGTTTAAGAGGTGCTGTAATTAAGCCAGGATTACTACCATAGTACAATCTGATAGCGTTCTGGAGTTAGGTTGACGACTTGCTTGTGATAAGGTCTGAAACATTTTCCTTTTTTTTATATTTGGAAGTTTTTTCACTTACACCTTTGCCCTTGGGATTTTTTCTTTCCCTTTTTGGTGAAGTTGCTCAAATTCTCTCTCTCCAAGGAGAGAGGGTCATCTGAGCAAGCCCAACTTTTCCCTTGCCAATAAATCAATCCATCAAGAGAGGCTGCCTTAATTTTGTGACCTGGACCACAATCATAGATTACAAGTACTTGGCTTCTCCTGCATATTTGAGTAACAACAAGTACTAGTGAGAGGTGACAAATTAGTAGTGTTAGTCTCAGAAGTCTAAGGGCTGCTGTGAAAGAGGATGTGCTGCATCATGAGTTTTCTTCTTTGTTCTTGCCAGTATATCTGATTACAAAGACCTGGAAGGGAAAACTAGTGCTTCCTACAGCCAAGGACAGTTGCAGCTTGTTGCCAGACCTCCTTAATCAGTAAGGGATTGGACAAAACCATCTTTTTTTAGAGTCTGAGTTCTGCACATTGGTACTACAGAGACACAAGAGTCCACACATGAAAATGGTGAGTTTATGCAGTGGATGATTTTCTCCCTTCATGGATTTATTTATTAATATTAGAAATGCAGGTAATGCATTTTCTCAGGAAGGCTATTATGCAGAGCTGTAGATCTAATAAAACCATATATTGGCAAGGCCTGTGATGATACGCCTGAGTCTGGTGTTTTTCCCAAGTTCTTAATTACATCTTTTCCACCTCTTCTTGTGCTCAACTTTCCTTCCCCCTCTCCTACTTTACCGCTTTTCAACTGCTTGTACTACAGGCTTTTTTCCCCTCTTAATTTTCTATTTATTCCTTTCTGCTCTTCCTCTACCACTTTCACAGGCCCTGCATTTCCTTTCCAACATCTTGCAGCATCTTGCCTCCACCTTTTAAAAAGTTACAGAATTTGATGGTTTTGCTTTCATATGCCACAAAATGACCCTCTTCTCCCCGTTTTACCTGGCTGCCAGTGCCTGTGGCCTTCATTAGGGCAAAGTCTCCCCTGTCTCCCAGTAATATCAACAATATTTGTAGTCTTTATTTCTGAAGCTGGAGACTGGAAAAGGACTCTTATCATAGACCTGCAGAGTGAAGCCACAAGGCTTTGTGCCAAGCACTCGGCACCTTGACGGTGTCGGTTCTTCTGGTGGTGTTGGGTGCTTGTCAGACACGAGCTCAGCTGACAGTAATAAAATGAAGCCCTTTTAATTGCCTCTGTGAGGCAGCCAGTTGACTATGTGCAAGAGGCAAGTTAGTGACAGAGTAAGGGAGAACCCAGGCTTTGAATGCATAGTTTGAAAGACAATGATTTTAGAGGTGTAGCTTGTCTTAGCAAAGAGAGGGATTGCTTTCCCCCCTGCGTGTCCAGTTATTTTGCCATTTTTATTTTAGTGTTTGTCTTGCATGCTTATTTCATTTGAAAACCTCATGCAGTCAGTCCCCAAGCCAGTCAAGCTGAGGCGGTAACACCAGCCCACCCTGCTACTGAAGCCTGCTGCTCTCCCCTATGGAAACTTGTTTGTCATGGGGAGGAAAAAAAGAGAAGCCCCAACTGAAACTTGAAATACCACATTACATGAGAGCAATTACCATGTGTGCACATGCGCACAAGCATACATGCACACACACATGCAGAGAAATATATAAATGTACAGCTCACTGTATTGCACTCCGATTCAAAATTATTATTTTTCAATTAAGGAATATAAGCCTCTGAAATGGAAGCTGGGACCCTTGAGTTTTAACGATGTATTTGCCACTGATTTGCTACACTCTTCTGGGCCGGTTATGTCCTTTTATTTTTCCCATTTTCCATCTATAAATTGGGAACAGATCTGCTTAGCAACTAGTAAGTGAGTGTTCATGAAGATCAAATGCAACAGATATCCTTAGTAATATTTGTTTTCTCACTTTGTGAATGAGAACACAGAAGATTTTCAGACGTTAAGATTTTTAATTGCTTCTCCAAAAGCCTTCAAGTACCCTATGAATTTGAACCAAAGAAAGGTTGTGACTGAGTGCATCCTCAGCATGTTTGCTGATGACACCAAGCTGTGTGGTGCAGTTGACACGCTGGAGGGCAGGGATGCCATCCAGAGGGGCCTGGACAGGCTTGAGAGGTGGGCCTGTGGAAAACTCAAGTTCAACAGGGCCAAGTGCAAGGTCCTGCACTTGGGTTAGGGCAATCCCAAGCATAAATACAGGCTGGGCGAAGAGTGGATGGAGAACAGCCTTGCGGAGGAGGACTTGCGGGGTGTTAGTGGGTAGAAAACGGACTGTGAACCAGCAATGTGTCCTTGCCGCCCAGAAAGCCAGCCGTATCCTGGGCAGTATCAAGAGCAGTGTGGCCAGCAGGTCCAGGGAGGGGATGCTCCCCCTCTACTCTGCTCTGGTGAGACCCCACCGGCAGTGCTGTGTCCAGCTCTGGGGCCCCCAACATAAGAAGGGCATGGACCTGCTCGAGCGGGTCCAGAGGAGGCCACGAAGATGACCAGGGGGCTGGAGCACCTCCCTTATGAGGACAGGCTGAGAGAGTTGGGGTTGTTCAGCCTGGACAAGAGAAGGCTCCAGGGAGACTTTATAGCAGCCTGCCAGTACTTAAAGGGGGCTACAGGAAAGCTGGGGAGGGACTCTTTATCAGGGAGTGTAGGGATAGGATGAGAGGTAATGGCTTTAAACTGAGAGAAGGTAGATTTAGATTAGCTATTAGGAAGAAATTCTTCACTGTGAGAGTGGTGAGACACTGGCACAGGGTGCCCAGAGCAGCTGTGGCTGCCCCCTCCCTGGAAGGGTTCAAGGCCAGGTTGGACGGGGCTGGGAGCACCCTGGGCTGGGGGAAGGTGTCCCTGCCCATGGCAGGGGGGGTTGGAACTAGATGGTCTTTAAGGTCCCTCCCAACCCAAACTATTTTGTGATTCTGTTATTTTTCCTTATTCCTAGCAAGCTCCACCAGAATATTTCCATAGTTCTTTTTACAATTAGGCAAAACTTTACCACCGTGTAATGGGTAGGCAAAAATATTTGTAAATTTAAGCAGAATTTCCCAATGGTTTCAGTCAAAGAAAATTGGTCCTCCTCACCCCTGTTGGAACTATTGGATTAAACAGCATATTTTTTTTTTATTTCAAACTGTGCTTATAAGGGTACTGTAGCCTTGTTCACCAAGCAGGACAGCCATTTGTTGCTGGGATCTCTTCTTGCCCTACCCTGCTCTAACATAGATGTACGAATCCAGACATTTATTTTCTTTCATTGAAAAAAAAAAGTAATTTAAAATGTCTAACAATAAAATGTTGTGGGTTTTTTTTTAAAGCCCCCAAATTTTAGCTTTCAGTTCATATGAAGAAAATTAGTTTATTTCAGTTTGGCCACTGAAGCAAAAAATCAATTACACTCATAGTTCTAGCCCTTTTTCCAAAGAAAACAGCCAAAACTTAAACTTGGTCTTTAATTATATATTTGATTCATACCAGTAACAACACTTGACTTCAAACAGTGCAAAAGCAGGAGGAGACTTGCTCTGAATTCCTCTCTTCAAAGAGAAGAAAGTCTTTCAGATACAATGTCAGAAAACTTTAAGCTGAAACCAAACAAGGTAACTGTGAGAGGACTGATACAAGGAGTTTTAGCTGACCACAGGAACAATTTCTTAGTACTGAGAGGAGGCCTCCAAAATTGCTTTTAAACAAATCTCCCCACATTTGGGAAGAGAAAGTTGAACTTGCTAGATGGATTGCTTATTCCTTTCATTCCCTTCTCCCCCCATTTCAATAAAAAAATAACTTTTCATAGTTGTAGGAGCAAATTATTATTATTCACTTAAAATTATCACACAATGAAAAAGCATCCTGTTATCTGTGCCCAAAACTATGAAGTAGTCTGATTCCCACAATCAACAAGCAGAAGATAATATGTGTTAATTGTATGTAATGTATTACTCTCATGACAATTCCTGCAAGTGTACAAATTAAATCAATTAAAACTACTTGAAAGACTTCTGTGCACTGTCACCGGTTCATTAGTCCACAGCAAATTGCTCAAAAACAACTGGGATATGTGTGCTTTACCCAACATTTGTATAGCTATCCCCTGTTTTTTTATTTGATGCTTGTTAGAATAGCTCTGAAACTAGGCTCAAATATTTTTAGTTGGCAATAATTATGCAGAAAGCCAGTATAAGGATCATTGTGGTCTTGTTTGTGTGTATGTCCCTGCTTTGTTCTGTCTTTCTACTACTTCTTGACCTAATTTTTCCTCCTCATTGCTTATTCCTATTTGTCTCTTGTCTTGTGTCCTTTTTAATGGAACAGATCTAGGGCTGTGTCTGGACTAGGAGAAAGGTTGAGATTAGTTCAGCTGTAGGTTGAAGTTAGCTGGCCAGCTATATCCAACCACTTATTGACAGCTGGAAATGCACAGCCATCGTTCTTTCAACTTTCAGACAGTGGAATGAGAGTTTATGCTGCTGGCTCGCATTTGATTTGCTTTTACATCTGGTAAAATGGGTGATTGTTTTAGGTTTGACTTAGCTAGGTAGTGCTAACCATTCTATCCCAACCTCAGCCTTTGATGAGAAAGGTTGAACGATTCTAGGAGTTCTCCTTAAGTTTTTTCTGGTCTAAGGGTAAAAACATGCTCTATTATAAGCTATGTGTAGGTTGATGAGTAAATTGCTAGATGAGTAAGTTGCATGATGGAAAGTATCTTACATTTTTATTAGTGGAGCTCCAGGCCATTTTTTTTTGCTCATGTTACTTTTTCCTGTTTCTACCAGTATACATAGTATCAATGAAAACATGTCATGGCGGATGGCTTTTTACACAATTGGAAGGAGATGAGGCTGAATGAGAAAGGACCCCATAGTATTTAATTTTCGATGTTCTTGCTTGGTTTCGTTTACATAATTTCTACTCATGTGAAAGGGATGGCTGCATATGAAACCCTGAATGATTCTTTGGTATGCGCTCTGCCCACAGTCGTGTATAGCCAGGCCAGCTGAGGTGGGTGCTAAAGTGATTAACCTGAGGCTGCACAGCAAGGCAGCAAAAGGATAACGTCCCAAGGTCTGCTGGCTTTGATGTTCATCCACCAATGGTCATCCTTTTACTGGTTCACCACTATTGAAAATTTTCAATTACTGACAAAATCACAGCCCTCTGATTTTCCATGCTCGTAGAAACGTGACACAACCCACTGTAAGAAAGGTTAAATAATTATAAAAATTTAAATGTAAGTAATTTATCGGCAACATTTTAAAATCCCTGCATCGCCGTTGTCTCCACTGGTAACACCTGACGTCAAGCGTGCTTTAACCTGCCTCGCGGAGGAGAAACTGGGTCCCTTTGCAGAGTTTTGCCGAACTGGACTCGGTGACACCCCGCTTCCCCGGCGGCCTGGCCCGGTTCAAGATGGCGCCCCGGGCGCAGGGGCAGGCGCCGCTGGGGTGAGAGGGTGGGCGACCTTCCCGCCAGCGGGGCGGCCGGGCCGTCCTTGCGGGGTGCCCCG